GGCCAAATGGGTTCTGATTCGGAAGTGAAAGGTTGCATGTTACTGTGTAATTGCTGATGTTGACATTTATCATGTGTGGTTAAAAACTGGCTTTGAGGAATCATTTAACACTGAGCTTTTTTGCAAAAATGTAATTTTAAGTTAGATGAGAAGTGACACTCATGTTACCTAAATATTAGGATAAAACCACAAGGTCATTGACTTACCTAAAGACTAGCTTGGCTTTTTCCAGAGTTCACAGCTACATGTTAAAAACACATCTTATAAGACTAGATTAGGTTGTTTGTTTAGGGAACATAAAAATAAGGTAAGAGGGATCTACCTGCAGTAACTCATCTAGCTTTGGCATTACTACTACTAGATTTCATTTAAGCAGGACTTGGTTTCCCCAAGCAGGTAACTCGAGGTCTCATATGGACACTTAAGGCTTATCTGAAAAGTGAGTCCCTCCCCATAGACTGTATAGCAAAGATGGCTTCCTGCTCTGTAAACGTGAAGGTAATAGAGAAGTACCTTAAGCCTGCAACTCTTAAAATTGCTCCGTCAATCTAGGGTAATAATAGAATGGCAACAAAAAATGGTGGTTGCCAGGTGATTTCATGCAATTTTTTTTCATTTTGCAAATGATTAAAAGTAGTTGCAGCAACCACCTGGTTGCCCAAAGTTTTGCCCAAAAACAACCTCAATGTCTGAGTTATCACTTTTGATCACAAGGCAGTTGCACAGGTCACCTGGTGGGAGGCAACCTGTCTCTAAACAACTGCACTCTGAGTTACAAGTTGCACAAATTACAAATTTACATCACTACAAGCATTTCTCAGTCAAATTGGCAAAGCTTTGTAAATATTTGCTGTCTAACTTATAAACAAACCATCAAAAGAGACCAGCAATCAGTCTGAATCACCATAAGCTTATGAGTGCAACACTTCTATGACACATCTGTGTTGCCAAACAGTTGTATTCCGACAAAATTTTAATTTGAAAGCAAAGTTGCCGAGTTGGAAATGTCTGTAACTATGTCACTATGTGTCGTCAAATTCCTGAATTTTTGTTTCAAATTTGAGGTTCTGGCTCGAATATAATGTTAAACAGAATTTCTATGTGTGTAGATATTTGCAACAGAATGGAACAGATTTGAATTTTTCTCAGATTCATCAGGTTTAATTAAATGAAAAATTGTTTAATGGTGTTTGATCACTATATCATCACAAGCAGACTGGTCCCTGCCGTCGAAGCAACTATTTTAAAAGGTAATGAGATCGCAAGGTCATTGCACACGGTCATGCCACATCCTCCAACCACTCCTAGCATGACAATAACTTAATAGTCAGCAGGAGCAGATGTCTTAAATAATGTATTATCTCAGTTACTAGTTGTTTTTGTTTTTTTGTATATATTCAAATTGTGTTTTTTTAAAATTATGATCGCTATAAAAGTGTGCTTTAGGTTGTGCCTATGTATGCATATGACAAATCACTTTGAGCATGCCACTTCTTATACATAGATTTAGAATACCAAGATGGTGATAGCCAACACACTGTTTTCAAGGCTTTACAACAAGACTTCATTAACTACTGGGGGATGGTGGCTACATGCATCTTTAATATGTATTTGCTTTGCTAGCTTAAAAATAACACTTCACAAATGAATGATTCTGTCTTCTTTATACAGTCTACAGGTTTCCCCTTGCTTCCAGGCTTTGTGCTAAGCTAAGCTAGTCTTTCTTGCCTTCAAGTTAGTGTGCAGGCATGAGAGTGGTATTGATTTTCCATTATAACTCTCAGGAAGAAAAAAAAATTAAATTAGCAAACATACCAAAGTTAAATTATTATTAAAGTTACCAAATTATATATAAGCATTAAAGAGAAAATTAGACATGAATCGATTCAAAATCTCTGCAGAATCACTGAAACACTGGAGTAAAGTGACTGTAAAAATCTACTGATCTGATACAATAAAAAACCCCAAAGTAGTGTTTTTCAGAGTCCCTGCTAGTCGTTAAATTCACAGTGAAAATCCCTCCATGTTCTACCACTGATGTCAGGCCAACAAAACTACAAACAGCAATGAAGGACTCCATTGTTATTTCTAACTGGTAGAAGCCCTGAGGTTATTTTTCCTCTGCCTTGAAACAAATCAATGAAGCACAACTCACTTTGAACAACTGCACATTTGCTGAAATCAGATGTGGGTTGAGGAGCCAACCATCATCGCACTTATTCTGTTTGTTGACAGAGGAGGACTTTGATAAACAAGCCTGTTCTTTGAAACAGGTGCCCGAGCATGAGTTCAGTTTTGAGAGGCAATTCAGAAAACTGACTGATTAGAGGATGTTTGTTATTCTGCATGCAGCCATTCGGATTCTGCGTATCCTTCTCGAAGTCGCAGAAAGGCTTTTGGTATAAACAGTGATGCTATTTATTTTTCAGCTAAGATAACACAAAGGTTTGACATAGATATTTGCCAATTTTCAAATACCCAAGCAGTCAGAATGACTGTCTTCTCCCATCACTTTGATAAAAGCATCAACAAACAGTAGAACTTGATAAAAAATCGTACTCTTTCATGGAGGTTTCCTTTAGCCAACGTTGCCCCCATGTGGTTACAAACTGCACGACGTACAAGTTTACATTAGAAATGAACATCCTAAATCTTATGAAAGTTTCCTGGTGTTATTCTTTAACCTGCTTTGATTGCATCATTCATGTAAAACGTAAAGTCTGCCTTCTCAACTGAAAGACTGAAAAACTAAAGTTATGGCTTAGCTGCGGTGTGTTTTTCCTGGCTGTTCTACTACAGTAAACACAACACGCAGCCCGGCCGGTTCACAAACTCAGCTTATCCTCACTATCAACATATGGAAGTGTTTTGAAATTGCTATCTACTAGCAGCAAATGGTCTTAAATCAGTCATTTTAATATCAAAGCACTTAACACTAGAATGATGATTACTTGCAGGTGGAAAGCCATGCTGCTTGTCAGGACTGCATTTGAAGAAAATGACTGAGCTCTTATCCGACACGTACAGTACAGCCAGTGTTCAATAGGCAAGATCGAATTACAGAAGATTACTTTGGAGTTTCAGCAATTTTCCCAAATTACACTGGCCTTTGGTCTCTGGTAAACTTGATTGACTTGAATGGTTTTCATTAGAAAGCCTAGCAGAGTCTTAGCTGTTGATACCGGTACACAAAAGTTGAGGCATTTGAGGGTGAGCGGGTGCAGCTGGGACACTGGAAGCGAACGGGTATGCAAATCCTTTCATGGAAATGCTTCATCATGTTTTAAGGCAACACAGGCTAGCAGACTATGCGCTTTGATTTGTGAAACTCATCTGTGTTTCACAAGCCTGACATTCTCCTACTACGCAGCCATTTGGTCTCACTTAGTTGTCTTTCAAAGGATCTCCTCGGGAAAGCAATATAAGTTCTGGAGTTATTAAATCAACACAGGCTTTCATAATCAATATGGAAGAAAAGTATTGTAAGTATATAGTGCATTTGGTGGGCATTCACAATAAAACCTCATGTGATTTACACTCCGTGTCATATTTGAACTTGAGTCCACCCTCCCTCTGTCTCTCCTCATCCAAAGAACTAAATCTGAGTAATGGAAATCAGTTAGATGTCACAAAGAGCCTGAGCCCAGACTGACAAGAAAATAGCCATGAATAACATGACCACCCTTATTACCCTCCTAGGAAAATACTTAGAGTGGGTTCCAAAATGAAGAGTAATGCGGAGACACTTTCTGTGTCACAAAGAATAAGAGCTATTTATCATGGCCATAGATATTCCCACATATTCCCCCTCAGCTGTCTGGTTGCCTCAACCGCTGCCAAAAAACTGAAATTCAAGAGGTAAATCTGCAAGGAGTTAAGGGTTGGTGTTATAGCTTCTTTTGATTAAGACACTATACTAGCCAACCCGATGCATAAAAGTCGAATCAAGTTCCCAAACTTAGCATAATCAGGTGTGATTCTCATAGTTAGCTGTCATTTAATGATGCCTATAAACCTGCATCTGCATCTGCATGTGCTGCTGGAAAGAACAACCAAACAGGGAAATCTGTAGTGTGTGTGTGAGAGTGTGTGGCCACATTTCTAGAAGGGTTCTTCAGGTTTTTGATGCCATCTTGAGGAGATTTACGGCAACAGCAGGAAACTAAACCACGGCGCTCATTTCAACTGCAAGATAAATATTTGGGTTACGTTTCCACGATATCCAGTGTCACTTAGCGTTTAAGATAGTCTATTTAGAGATTAATGTCAGAGGATGAAAGTGTAGTCATTATTTTTTTAGAGGGCAATTATAGTCGAAACCACCAAATGTTGTGTTTAACTTGTGAGAGCTTTGATGTATTTGTCTGTTCATCAGCGTGATTTAAATTCCAAGCAAAAGCGCTTTAGGAAAGAGAGGAACAGATTGAAGTTTGAATTCCACTTAGTCAGGGGGGTGTAGCAGTTTTTCGGGGTAAGAGAATGAGGGTCGTGTAATGGATCCATTGAGCAGGACCGTTAATAAATAAATAAAGAAAACATAACTGATGCTTTTCAGAGTCTTTGAGTGAATGCGAACATTAAGTCATGGCCGCTGGGGGAAATCCATCTGTTTACGAAAATGACATTCCACTTAGACATTATCGTTTCTTCTTTAATCATCTCCCACCATTTTATCCAGACATCATCAGGACGTGACACTTCAGAGGTCAGATGCACACGCTCCACCCGCAGCCATCCTCCAGCTGACAACACCCCAAATTTTTTTTGGTATGGCAGCTCCACACCGAACACTCCAAGACAATGAAGACCATTCACACGGATTTCAGTCCAAGCAAGATGATATGAGGTACTGCTGATTTTTTTCCTTTCACTGCAACAAAAAAAAAAACACATACGTAGGCAGCGCTACAGACTATTTTCCTCATTATAAAGCTGCAGACTGGCGCAGGCTTCTAATGACATTTGACCTGAGTGGCTACTCCCTGCCAACATTTCAAACCAGTGGGTGCGCCACCAGAAGGCCAGTTAAAAAAGACTGCCCAAGCCTTGAAGCATGGATGAAACTGGCAAACACAAAATATGGCTTGTATTAGGATTAACTTGTACTGCCTGACAGATCTGATGTCTGCTGGCTTGCTGGACCTTGTGATCGGGGTGTGGTGCATTTTGCAGAATAACTGCCACCAAAAAGAGACTTATTTTTCAAGGGTTTGCAAAGGATACCTTTATTTTAGTAGTAATTTATAAGGGCTCTAATGCATTATACCAAAGAAGTAGCAGGCTCAAACTGGCAGCCACGGTTTCTCTACTCCACACAATAGCATAAAATATATTTTATAACACAACAAATCCTGTTGTATTCAACATACTCTGAATTAGCTCCACCCTAACCAGGTTTAAAAAATTAAATACTTGCACTTTTTTTAACCCATGTTTAAAGCTAGACACTTTCATGAACCGGATATTTTTTTTTTTAATGTGGTATCACCATTTCTACATGCCAGTGCTTCTTCAAGCAAACAAACACGAACAAAGCCCCCATGTATTGTGGTAAAATGATTGAAAGCCACAATGATTTGTTTGCAAAGTTTAAATGCATGTTAATGGTTATGAAAGCTTTAGGGTAACACAGACCTCCGTGTTTGCTCAACAATTCAGCGATCTTACAGGTGAGAATTTAAAACACATTCAGGATTATAAGTGTGTAAAGAGCACACATGAAACACTTTAAAACAAAGACGTCTTTTATTGGTTATCAGCTAGCTTGTTTTAAAGAACCACAAAAAAAACAGTCCTGATTTTGGCAACAGTTACCTACAGCATACACCAAAATGTATACTGTGCATGTAGTGTTAAGCTTTGATGCACAGCATGGCATCCAGGAGGTTGTCTGTATGTCTGATATGCGCTGTGATGAAACCGTGGCTCTTCAAAAGCAGGCTATATTCAGTTGCGCTCCTCTGTTTCCCCTCGCTCATGCTAAGGGCCTGCAGCAGCCCACGACTGGGGCCCCTTCTGTCTTCATCCAGGAAGATCTCGCTTAGCAGGAGTCCACAGCCTAGCAACATGAAACATAAGCAGACACAGAACATCAGAGAACAGATTTGTACTCCCTTTTCGCTCTTTACATTATAATGTTTCCACAAAAAAAGTATTGCATAAGCAAGGCAGCATTGACTTGGCTTTAAGCTTTCGTCTTTTTCAACACTGAGCTCTTTGCAACAGCGGTTCAGAACAAAGACATTGTTAAACCCAAACTAACCAGCACCTATCGTTTTAGCACAGCATGAGAATCAATCGGTCAAATCAGTTTCAAGCATCTGCAGAAAAAGAGCTTTTGAAGAATGAGAATATTATACTCAGCATAAACAATATGCTTTCTGTTTGAAGCGATGTTTGGCTGACATTCACTGTTCAGTAAAGATAAGTACTCATATGAGTGAATATAGCTTTACAAACCTGCTGTGCATGCATCTGTGATTTTACTCAGCAGTATATGCACTTTCTCATCAGGCAGGTCATGAAGAATCCTCGCCAGGATATACAAGTCTGCTTTGGGTAATTCGTCTTTTAAAAAGTCTCCTGATCATAAAGAAAGTGAAAAAAAGCCCTCAAATTAATCACAGATTGAGTGGAATTTGTTAGCATATTTGTCACTCTGTCTAATATGATCCAAACAATCTTTCAGTCACAATTTTCAGTGTCACAAAACAACTGACCTGCTACAAATGATACCCTGTTGTCTGGGTGCTGTGGATGGAAAAATTCATTCAACTCGACAACAGCAGGTAAGTCAAACACTGTTACAGACAATCCAGGATGAGCTTCGGCGAATTCATAAGCCAAGGCACCGGTGCACCCTGAGACAGTGAATTAAGACAAAAGATGTAGAGCAGTGGTTTCATATTCAGTGACAAGCTGTAACGTTTTGCATTCTTTTCTTACCTCCGAGATCACAGGCTGACTTATAGGTGGAGAGGTCAAATGCCGTTGCTATGGTTTTCCCTGTAATTTTTGCAATGTTGTGCATGGCCTTCATGAATCTCAGTTTGCCTTCCCGACTGCTGGAGGAAGTTTCCTTTAAAGAGAGAAGGTGAGTTTGAATATGCTCTCACCGGCACCGCAGATATATGACACAGAAATCAGAGATAGCCACCTGAAGCATTTGCTTGCTAAAGGCCTTCTCACGCTGGCTGGTGCCCTCCTGCACAGCACTCTCAAGGTGGGAGAAAAGTGGCCACATGGTTTCGTTACAGTGCTGGAGGTAGCCATGCAGCGAACACGGGGCATCTGACCTCAAAAAATCTGTGGCCAGATCTGCGTTCTCATACACTGGCTTTTGGCATGCTAACAACAGAGTGACAGCAAGATATTTCCAAATTAAGTATTAAATGCCTGCTGCTGAAGGCAAGGGAAAAATATCATGATGCAATTAATAAGAGAGCTGGCTAACCTTTCTCTATACTCTTCAACAATCCCAGAGATACACAGGCTTCCAGCAGACATTCGGTCCCCTTTGCAGATGCTTTGATCTCCTGGGCCACCTGTGCTGCATCCAGCCCAGGCCGGCTATGTAGCAGGTCAAACAAACACAACTTGGATGCTGTAAAAAGTGCCTGCAATGTTTTTGGAAAAGTAGAAGGGAATGCAGAAACAAAGTTAGCTTTTTTTTCCCTTTTATGTTGATGTGAGATTGTTGTTAACGAAAAGCATATGCTTCCTGGTTCTTCAAATAGTAACACAAACATTTCTATTCATAGCAAAGTGCATGATTTACTGTATTCCACTACAGCTGCATACCAATGAGCTACCATCTCAACTAAAAACTATTGTTCTCTAGTTCATTATTTACTTTATTTTCTTTAGAGACAGACAACAAGATCAGCAACAATCTGTGTGCTAAATGTAAAAAAATGTAAACAGAGTTTGCTGATGTTTCCCACATCCAGCTCATAGTGATGGATGAATGAACTGGATTTATACCACGCATTAAATAACACATTATGATTGCCTGTAAAGGTTTGATAACCATAACTTAAGGTGTTATTGTGATCACTTTTTCTATTTTTTCACATTTTACCACAATCATTCAGAATATTCAGGACTTAGAAAGCCTCGCTTGATTTGATAGGCGTAAGCCAAAGCAGTTCAGGACCTGAGAGGAACTTCTCCTTTCTACTGACAATGACTTTCACAAACAGATTTAGCAAACACAGCAGTAATCTTCTACTGTGCAGTGCCACCTTCTCAAAGTGGAAACTTGTGAACTTTAGCCTGACAGTCTCGTAAGCAAGTAAAGCAACATCTGGGTAAGACAGTCATTTGAAAAGCTGGACTATTCAAACAGATTTTTGACAGCAACCACCAAATGTTTATCTGAAAGAAACTAAAATAAGCAGCATTTAATGGAAGAAGAGCAACTTGCCCGCTGTTAAATACAAATATGTGGGTGGAAAGACTGAGATTTAGTGATGTGTGGGAACTGGTACCACAGGAAACACTCTGCACATGTGAATGTATTGCACTACATATCAAACTTTAAATGCAATTGTTCCAGTTTTGTTTACCAAAAGGTTTTTAATTCCCCTCTTTTAACGTCGAAAACCCAGAAATGTGTTTTAGCTCAATATTTTGCACAAACCTGTATTTATTATTTGCTTAAATCTGTGTCCTCAAGATTTGTGGTCACCTTAAGCTTCACAGGCAACTTGCAGGGTACACAGGAAGTCACATAAACGTATCAAGAAATATGTCAGCACATGTCTCCGTGCAAAACCACCGCAGATTGGTTTCACTGATTTGCTTGTATAGAGTGGAAGCTTTATTTTGCAAAAATAGTGAGCTTTGGATGCAGTTAACTCAAGACAACTCAAGGTTTTAAGCTGAGCTACGTTACTCGTTACATCTTGTGGAAGCCAACTACACAAAGAACAAACACATAAAGTTGACATTTTTTCTGTAACAGGTCTTTTACAGAAAGGACTTTTTTTTTTTTATACAAAGGCACTGATTACCTTTGAGGCTTTGAATCCATCCATCAGTTCACAGATTCGCTCCAAGTCTCCTCTTGTAGGTTCAGTCACCTGCCCTCTCCTTGTTATCGATGGTAATGTTTCATTGTCATGAAGCTTGACCTTCCTGTTGTCTGTATGTTTAGACGTGCTATTGACCAATGTCTGTGAAATTTCACTTTCACTGTCTTCTCTTTTTACCTATGGGAAGATTTTCTATAAATAGTGTCAAAAGGAAAGGCGACAGATTTTTGTTATAGAGTTATAAAAACAAACCTTATGGGCAGGACTGGCTGTGGAGGTGATCTGGGTGTGGAGTCTTTGAATGTCACAGGGGCTGCTTGGTCTGCGAACGGATGAGTTGTGGCTGGGCAGAGCTTGTGAGCTGGAGGGGGGCTGGGTGGGTACTGAGATGGGAAGATTGTCGCTGCAGCTTGGAAGGGTAGACATGCTTTTCAAAGAGGAAGTACAAAAATTGTAAATAAGGTCTAGCTGTTTGCAGAAGTGGTTGAGGGGAAAACCCACAACATTGAGAAAGTCTCCATGGACATACTCGACCAGCATGCCACCCAGAGCCTGAATACCATAGCCACCAGCCTTGTCCCTGAGACACACACAGAAAGGTTTCACTTGTACAAACACATGTAGGCAAAGATCAATAAACACATACTGTAAATGACCAGCTGTTTACTGGATGCATTCTGCAACAGTTTCACACTATTTCTGAACTGAGCAGAATTGTCATAGTTTGCTGACTCGTGTCAAATGGGACAAGGCAAACACAGCTGGAACAAAATCAGGCATCAAAGTCCAAAAAGCAACAAGTTCATGAAACTCACAAGCAGTTAAATGACCTCCATTGATCAAATACTTAGAAAGAGTCAACAATAACTGTTACAAATGTGAAAAGTTAAAAAGATCACACTTACATGGGCTCACCACTATTGATGTACTCCCACAGCATATCTTCTGAGAGATCAGCAAACTTCACTTTAGTTTCTTCGTAGAAATCTACCAGCTGGTAATCGACTTCTTCATCTTGAAGGCAGCATTGAAGAAATGAAAAAAAAAAAGAGTCGCAAGACAGAATTGCCCAATAAATGTCTTCTACATATTTATGGCAGAAATGTTTCTCTTACTATTTTTGCTTAAAACATCTGTGCTAGTGATCTGTAATAGGGAACTGCTTCTTTCTGAATTTCTTTCATTTTACAGAAAAATAAAGTACAAGTGTGACAGTTTCTGAGTCTGTACTTACTTTCTTTTTCATGGCAGAGGACAATAGCTACACCAGTGAACACACTGTGCTCTTTACCACTCAAACTGGAAGAGAAAGACAAAATCATCATGATATCTTTTTCCATTTTATGGTTTTTTAATGTTAACTCTGAATGTTTCCCATTGACACAGACCTTGACAGCATCCTATAAGCATCATGTTTGTCCACTGGTTTCTCCAGAATCATGCCATCTACAGTCTGTGAAATAAACAGTTGGCTAGAGTGAATAAAGAAAAACTTTACAGTAGCCATTAAGAAAATGCATTTGCTTTTGTGCTTTTTTTCTGCCTTACCACAATTGTGTCAGCCCCAATAACTATATCTGGAGTCTTCAGGTGTTTCTAAAGTAAATCAAGACAAAGTGTTCTCAGTGATGACATCTGACTGGATAAATTCTATTATTTGTCATAAAGAAAGTAGCTTATCTTACAAAGGGCATCCTCCTGGCTACCTCCAGGGCCTTCTGCTTGGCTGTCTCAACAGCATACTCATGAGGTGCTTTGAAAAGCCCTTTATCGAGGGTTTCCTTAAACCAGGACGGCACAACCTCGAAACGTAAACCCTGACAGATAAGAGGACAAAGCAAACAAAACACTTGTTATATTTAATAGGACTTACGCCACTCTTATCAGATTTACCAACCTATGAAAAATCCAGTCAGTATGGGTTTCTTAAATCAATAATCCTTTAAATTAAGTTTAAAGTAGTTCCTTCAGTGAACTAGCTATACATGTTTTTATTTGACATGGCTTTTCTTTGTCAAATAAATAAATTTGTACCCAATGATTGATTTGAACTCTGTTATTTTTTCTAAATTTTGCTCTGTAAATCTGCTCTCTTAATGTGGATTTGTCTGCTTTTTATACTTTAATACAACTGCTAATTTTTAACCAACACCATAAAACTGCCATGTTTTAAAGAACTTAAAAATCAAATGTCTTCTCCCTTTTTCCTTCTATTTCACCCATTATAATGAACCAGACTACATGCTAGGGATGATGATGAGATGATTTTTTACCTACTAGGGTTTTACACATTTACACTCAGTCCTATTGTGCAAACTCAAACTACATTCTGTGAATATACGGAATAATAAGGAATAACAAGGGAATAATCAGGAAAACGCATACTGCACTGCGGAGAATCTCAAGTCTTCTAGGAGAAGCACTGGCCAGCACAACCAGTTTACCAGCAAGCTTGGAAATGACTGGGTTCAGCACCATGGTGGCCTTTAGGTCGAACTGCCAACAAGGTGAACAGAGTTAAACATTACAGATGTGTCCTCTGCGGCTCCCTTATATCAGAGCTAATTTTATCATAACATGAAATTAGCTCTGATATTTAAAAAAAAATATTATTTATGTATTTTACAGGATCCAACTTATGTTTGTAAACTGTATTTTAAGATTTAAAGAAAGAACAATTCTCGCCTCTGAGCATATATAACACGAGGATGTATTGTGTTCACGCACAATTAACAATAACCCTAAAGAATACAGTGAGCACTTTAGAGAAATCCCCACTCAGTTGCATAACATCTTAGCAAATAATTTATTGCATAAAGTCAGCAAATAAAGACAACTTCATATTTCAGGAAGCAGCGGGCGTAAGTAGCATAGCATTACACAACACGTATATTTTACACAAGTAAGACATTGACAGCGTTATGAAACTCGACGAACACAGTTCACAACACTAAAGATCTGCTTTAATTACTCTGCTGTTAGCAACACTAATTCATTTGAGCTAACTTGTGCTAGTTTGCGGCGTTTAAAGCTGCGGAGCGAGAAGAAAGAGGAAAAAAATTAACCACGAGTGAACAAAATGTTACTGCAACGTTTGGCGACCAAGTTCACCCCAAAGTGACATGGTTAAAATCTCTCATGTGTTCACTATTATACTATAGTACATGTATATAGCAGCTGTCCTTCTTACCTGTACAACTCGGGGAAACTGACAGCAGGACCCGCCTGCTGCGTCACGACGCATGCGTGATGACGTAATAAAGTAGGCGTCTCGAAGAAACGCACACCAGTTCCACCAGTAAACTACTGCTACTACTTACGACTACTACTACTCAGGGCTGGACTGGGACAAAAAAAAAAAAAATCAGCCTAGGCATTTTGACTAGTGACCGGCCCACCATGGCATTATAGGAAAAGTCATAAAGCCTTTATAATAAACTTAAACCTACACCATCTTCCCAATTCTGGTATTCTAAACAGTACTTAGCAAAAATATAAAACAACCTAATTTATAATTACATATACCCAGAGATGGGCAGTAACGCGTTACTGTAATCTGATTACAGTAAAGTAAGGGATTACTATTGCAAAGACGGTAATTAGATTACCATTACTTTCCCGTAGGAACGCTGTGTTACTGTGTTACTAAAACCGTGATTCATGACAGTGACGTAAGCGAGTGCGACGTTTGTGACAACAGCTGTGTGCAGATCAACAATGGATCATATATCGAGTGCAGAGAGAGTATGAGCGTGCAGCGTTTAAAGCGTGGAAGTACTGACCTTACTTTGAGTTTGATTCCATAAAAAGTGACAAAAACATTAGTGTCCGTTGTGCGTGGGAAGAAAACTTCTTTTTACACCGAAAAAAACCCTAAACAAGCTCCGAGTGCGCAACGACGTAATGGGAAATTCACAGAGAAACTCGCGGATTCTTCCACTGACCGCTGCGGCACACCTGCACCAGGGAACACCTCCGCCTACCCACTCCTGCTTTACAGGTGAAAATAGAGCAACAGGACCGCTAGTCTTTGATTTTATTTATTTTCTGCTGTGTTTTACTTGCATCTATTTGAAAGACTGAGTGTAAACACAAAAAATATTTTATGTGCAGAAAATAGGTTTAAATGTTAAACTAATTTCTTCAAGTCAGAGAATGGTGCATATAATTTTTGCTTGATGCATAAAGTTAAAAGATTAAAACTGATAAAACAAGTTTAAAAAAAGAGACTTTTCCATTTGATTACATTTTGTATGATGGATTATGCAGAAAAAGTAGAATTGGGCTGAAAGATCTATCGCTTTATCACCTATTCAGGTTGTAAATCGTGTTTTTAAAAAGTAACTAAGTAACTAAGTAATTAATTACTTTTGAAAATAAGTAATCAGTAAAGTAACGGATTACTTTTTGGGGAAGTAATCAGTAATTAGTTACTGATTACTTTTTTCAAGTAACTTGACCAACACTGCATATACCTAACTACTAATAGGTTGCCAACTCCCAGCAAAAAAAGAAAAGAAAAAAAATAGGGAACCACTCCCCCACCCTCTGCCTCAAGATGCTTAATTGACAAAACCGATTTTAATTTAATGCACGTATAAAACAAATGCACAGAAATCTATTATTTTTCTCCAGTAATTAAATAGATTCAACATCTTTCTTCAACAGAATTGCAGACTGCACAGATGGTACCTTCCCAAAGGAAAGAATACAATCCGGTCTTAAGTGATGACTGACGAATCCTACTTCCGGGCCTAAAGTAGTCTGCGTTTAATATGGCTTTTGTGTTGTTAACATGTTTAATGTTATGTATTTTCTTCTATTTAATCTCAAAAAGCTCCTAAAACAGTCAGTGATCACTGTTGACCTCCCTCGGCTTTTATTACCGCTAATCATTTATTTAAGCTCAGTTTTTAAAACCTTAGGATGTAACTACAGCCCAGCCCATGCAGCAGTATATGAATGACTAACCTCGTATTGTGGATGGATTATCTCAGTTGTTCTCCTGGCTGAAGTTTGGTCCTTTTACAGCATCCTGCCATGCGATTACATTTGTTCCTGACCACCGAGAACACTCACGTTAACTTTTATCGAGTGGAAAAAAAGTTAGCTTGTTTATATTATGCTAACATAGCTGTGTCGCTAGCGGTCACGTAGCACATCATTATATACCAGCTAGCCAAACTTCAGTAACCCTACAAACGTCACTGCTGTTTAGTTTTCTGTCTTCATTTATGTTGGAAGTGATAACAGAGCTGTACGTTTTAATTTGTTTCCAAAACCCCGCAGTCAGGACATGCTATATTGTATTTAGATAGAAGCTAGCGAGCTAACTTCCTGCTAACTTCTAACTCCGTTAAATGTCATAAATTCCGTTTTCATGGATGCCTGGATGTTAAACTCAATTGTTACACCTGGTAGAGCAGAACGCTGATCATTTTATTAAAGATGAAAGACTTTAGACAGTTTTTCAACTCTCAGTAATGCCATAGTGATCGTTTGATATATGGACCTGCAGCGGAGTTTAGGCCCAGACACAGCTAGTGACGTCAGACTTAACGATCAGATAGGGCTTTGGAGTTGACGTAACGCCGCAATGCATTGTGGGAGCGCGGCGCCATTTGAGAAGGCCACGAATCAAAACAAACACATTGTGTTGGAAGGACGACTTCCAGAACCATGCTCAAAATCAGCTCAAAAGTCAAAGGACTGTATCGAGACAGATTGCGCCCGGATGCCAAGAGACGGTACTTGGAAAGAATAGCGTGCACTGGTAATGTGGACCCGTATGAAATACGGCAGTGGAGTAGAAACCCTGAAGACCTACCGCCATTGTCCTACCCTGATACCTTCTCGTACCTTGTCTGTGGAGTCAGCGCATACACGGCGAATCATTTTCGGAATTATAAATCCCTGGAGGCGCACATCTAATTCACAAACGGTTGGGTACAAGAGTTGGCCACTTTTGAGCCTCCACGTTGTGAGTACGTTGACCATATGACCAAGATACAGCCAGAGGTTGCACATAACATTGGCTTCTCCTCAGCAGCTGCCCCAAAAATTCCTCTAGAAGAAAAGATAAACACACCGTCCGAAAAAAAAAGGCAAATTCCACTCACTACTCTGGAGAAGTTGTCACCGATAAGCTACTCCATAAACAGAACACAGTTCTGCTGCATCACACATTAAGATGTTTGTTCTAATTTTCTATGACCTCAGCGCATTGAAAATAAAACTAAAAGCCTATAAAGAGCAATATGAATTTCTTTAGAATTTGAATGAAAATGTCGGGAGCACACCAACAAAAAATGATGGCAGAGAACTCAATATCAGCTCGTCTCACCGCTGCTATCCAAGCCTGATGTTCACGTTTGGTAACATCAGATACATGAGATGCCTCATGTTGCTTTCAGGAGGGGAAACGATAAAAAGAGAGCCCATTTTCCAGCTTATTCCCTTCTCGATCGTGCGATCTAACATTGCAACCGACAACATAGCAAGTACGAGCCATAGCTGATGGCCACGCCCCCTCCCGTGACATCACGCTCCAAAGCCCTATAACTTACTAGGGTATATGCTAACCTTAATACTTACTGAATACAATAATGGATTTTTATACATTTTAAATCAGATGAAAACTTTGGTTGTAAGATTCAGATAAATATTTAATAAAAGCTAGACATAAGAATAAGAAAAAAAAGTATTTCTTTGTGCCCCCCTTTCCCTGTTAATGCCCTACCTGCCCCCCTGGCAAAACTTTGCTAGACCCGCCCCTGCACAGTTACCAGCTGTCAGCTACAGAGGATCCTGGTGTTATTTGTCTCTCAGCAACAGTTCATAACTTCCCTTCAACCTAAAATGTAAACCTGTTTCTCCATCACCTGTTCATTTGTGATGATTCAGTAAGGACATCTCCTGGTTTCATCCTCATGTTTCCCTCTCACCACATATCCAAACCGAAATCATGACCAGCAGCTTTTACAGCTGTGGCTCCAGCAAACATCAGTTGATACTAGAAAGCAATATTAAATAAATGCTAACAACAGCTGATCAAGCTTCAACGTGCTGCTGTTGTTTAATGCGACCTCCGCTGGTTTCCTCTTTCTGGCGCAGAGAGAAAAGCCGATCAGCTGATCACTGATCAGTTTCATGATTGAATTAGTAACTTTCTAGCTGAAGTAGTACGGGACAAATCGCGTTCCTTCTCACCTCAACTTTAAAGTTCGACCTCCTCGGCTGTAATTGGTCCAGCCCAGAGTCGATCATGACCAACTGGCCAATCCACCACCATTCATTTATACCATTAAAAAAAAAGAAAAGAAATAAAACCCCATCGGCCCATTAAAACGAAAAATCAGGAGCGGCCAGTCCAGCCTTGCTACTACTACTAATAAAATAAGTAATAGTAATAATAATAACAATTTTATTTATATAAATGAAGAAACTGAGACACACATGTGTATGTATATATATATATATATATATGTGTGTGTGTGTGTGTGTATGTGTGTGTGTGTGTGTGTATATATATATATATATATATATATATATATACACACACACACACACACACACAGACGTGTGTCTATATATATATATAGACACATGTGTGTGTATATATATACACACACAGTACAGAGAAAAGGTATTTAAAAAAATAATGAGATACATTGTTACAAAGTCAAAAACAGTGCGGCTCATACAACATATTTGATTTATGCTACATAATTGCACATGCTACATATATTCTAAAAACAACTGTTATATGAATGTTTGTTAAAATATAGATATATACATATAAGCTACATCATTAAAACTACCTGCATAAGATTGTGTAGATCCCTATCAGTCAGCCAAACCACTTCTGATGCAATGGCACAAGGACAAGGGACCCTTGGGGTGTCCTGTGGGTTGTGGCACCAGGCTTTTGCCAGAAACTCTTTGTGCCCGAGTGATTGTGGGGGTCTGTCTTTTGTGGATTGGGATTATTCCAGCTCATGATCACATTTCTGTCTGGCTTGGAAAATCCACTTAACAAATCCTGCATTTGTTAAAGTCAGATCAGAAATAATAAGGGGAAACAGGGTTTTCCACCTATGACAAATGTGCTTTGTAATGAGGTGATGGATTCTTTAAAATAAATAGAAAGCTAATGCAAGGATGATAACTAGTTACCCAAGACACACAGCTGCTCTTCATGTTCATTTATTCTGTTATACACACACACAAAGAAAAAACAAACAAAAAAACCCCAACTGGCACAAATGATTTTGAGATTTGACTCAAGACAAAGAGCTTCTCTGACTCAGAGTAACCCGCTCTGACTTCCTTTCTGAAGTCTTTCTTCCCCTTTGACCCATTCTCGCTCTATGCTGTGGTGATTGTGGTTTCAAAAACACCTTTCTCTGTGCTCATTCTTGACCTCACTGCGCAGAGTACAAAGTCTCTTTATTTTCCATCTTCATTGAATCTCCACTGCTCAAACTCTGCAGATGTATTATCTCTCTTAGCTTTTGTCTGAAGTCCTTACATGCAAAGTAGTAAATGAATGGGTCGAGGCAGCTATTTAGACAGCTGAAGCACAGAGACAGCTTGTAGGCTGTGTAGATAGACTTCTTATAGTAGAGTCTCAGCACGCTATGTATCAGCAGGAGGATGTTGTTTGGACCAAAGCAGAATGTGAAGACTAAGAGAACAATGACTGCCAGACGGATTGCTCTCTTTTTCTGGGATGTCTTTGAATCACTGGCCAGCTTGCGTATGACACTGATGTAGCAGAATGATGTCACACAGAACGGAAAGAGAAAGAGAACGAAGACCATGCTGAAGAGGAAGGCTGCCCAGGCCGCCATGGATGGAAGCATTTCTGTCTTCAGTATATCAAAACAGGTTGTAATGTTAAGCTGAGGAACGTGATAGGTCAGGTCTGTCGTCATCAGTGGATACAGAGTGCTCAGGACCAAACCCCACATGACGAAGCAGCTGATAAAAGCGATCAGTCTCTTCTTCCTGATCCGCCTGAACAGCATGGGCCTGACAATGCCCAGATAGCGGTCGATACCGATGGCCATCATTGTAAGGATGGAGCAGTACATATTGGAGTAGAAAACGAGGGTCACAAAACTGTAAATGGGAAGAAAGAAAAAACGTTTTCTGTTTAATTGCTGGCTGAAGTAAAAAAATAATCAGTAACAGGTTCAGGAAAATGAAGTGAATCTCGACTACACTTTCGTATATTTTCTATTTAAAGATGTGACTACTTTCACTGTCATAGCATCAAGACTGTCACGCTCTGTCTCCCTTGAAATATCTGTATAAAATCAGTGTAATAGAAGAAAAGCTGTGGCACATGTGTATATATATACCTTGATATATCTATATAACTTTGTTGTCTTCAACGCAAGTTTTTTCTGCAGATTAATCAATAATCCCCCTGTCCCATTAATGTCCGAGTTTAATAAAAAGTACCTGCACATGTTTGGTCCCAGATTCCATTGATATCCTTGGAGCTGGTAGGAGATCTGAAAGGGCAGAGCAGCACCGAGAGCCATGTCGGTAAGGGTAAGATTTATCATGAAGATGATGGAAGGAGACTTGGGAGAGGTACGGAAGAGGAGAAGCCACATGGACAAGCCATTTCCCACCAAGTTAATGCCGGTGATGAATATGTACAAAATAGAGATAGAGATGGCGGCGCCAGAATTCTGCAGAAAGTTTATCGTGGCGTTGTCTAGTTTGCTGGAATTCACCTTCATGTTTGAAAGCGAGCGGTCTCTCGTCACCTGTGTGCAAGGGTTCAGAAAAGCCTTGTGAGGTTCACAGAAGACAAGTCAGTTTTTTCACAATATACTGGTGGAAGTAAAGAAATGTTATTTACACTCTAAAAATATATATGTTGGATTTACCGAAACAAGCATGCACACCAATCGCTTAATAAAAAAAGAAATAAAAAATCAAGCAGCTGAAAGTGGCCTCTAATATTACAATGGCAAGTCAGAAATCTTTTTTTAATTTTGAGTGTGAAATATTTACATTTGAGTAAGTCATGTAAATTTAATGTACCAAGTAACCAAGCTTAATTAATGACTCCATTTCACCATTCCTTTGTGCTGTACCCTGTTTGGTTACATGATAACAGCTTTTTGTTAACATCTGAACAGCAGCCATGGATGAGCACACCGAATGGATAAACACCGACACTGCTCTCGCCCACACAAGCATTGGAAACCACATCACTTGTTCCCAACAATGAAAGTGTAAACACAATCTTAACTCAAATGAAAATCACAGCACAACTAAAAAAAGAGAAAAGAAATAAATCAGTGCAGAACTGTCCTGGTGATAAAAGTGTCAAAATCAACTAAACTTAGCACTAGTGTAACATTGCATACACAATTTAAAGTACAGTTGGAGGGATTGTTTGCACTGACAGCTTGCAGCACATCTTGATGTCCTGCATTTCTCATACATCAATATAAGTGACTGAGGGAAGAAAAAAACCCTCTCATCCTGTCTGAAGTGCTGTTACAAACAGTATTTTGCTGCAGAAACACGAATGATTGATCTCAAGGTGTGAAACAAATACCTTTGCCCTTATTCCAGGAATCTATTTCTGTGTTGATGTTCGCGTGCGAGCAGCACATGTGTCGGGTGGAGTTTTCACACAGGAAAAAGGTATGCATGATTTGTGGTGCAGAGTGCCAACTGTTGCTATGGCTTATTTTTTTCAATCTTGTGAAATGCTCTGGGGAGCTGATTTGTAACCTGTAGCAAACAATATCCTTAAAAGGCTTAAAACCGTAAACTGAAACTGCGAGACGATGAACGCTACAGCAAAAGCAGTGAATACAAGCACTTTTTCCTCACGCGCCATGGCCCGCATGGCAATCGTGGTGAACAAAGTTACCACATTACAAAGAAAGGTGAAATCTACAGACCACCAACTTTGAGTCATTGAAAGTTTCTTTCAGTTTTAAGCCATGGGAATTACGTTATTACTTCATCGCTGTTACTGTTAGTGACGACAACACCATTTTGGTAACTTACCCTTTTTCATTTCCTGAAAACTATTTCTCATACCACTATAAAGGCACATTTTTACTAATGTGTTCTTCAGAATTATATTTTAACATTACATAAACTCACTCACATTGCCTCTCATGAAATTTGTTCAAACTGTTGTCGCCTCAACGCTGTCGTAATCGTTTCCTTTTTTAACTTTTAACTAAAGCACATGTATTTAAAAAAACAAAAAAACAAAACATCATGTTGAATCTACTATTAGTGAAAAGGTAAAAATGAATACAAACCATCTAAAATAATAACAATAACAACTGGGCTCGTCTTTATTCAGTAACACACTGGGAAATAATGCGTATTGTATACAAGAGCTGAGAACTCACCTTTGCGAACACACGCTGAAGCCACAAGTTGGCATCTGAGTGTCAGTTATAGATGGGTTACAGATATTGTGACTAAGGAAGGCTGCTGAGGAAATGGGGGTTTGAACTTACGGTGCCAGAATCGCAGGAAATGGATCATGTGACAATCTTTATCCTACCAACTGCACTAACGGCCACCCATTAGATTCAGTCTTGGAAATTACTTGCAACAAGGCAGACATGTGTGACTCACCTCAAGCTTATGAGCACACGTTTACTTGCCACGTTCCCCCACATGCTCGTCTTATTCCTTCCCATGTTCGCCATAATAACTTCAGCTATGGCGCTCCTGTGTAATCAGTTATTTAGTAAAACATTGTGTGACCGAACTCTACGGAGAGCTTCTAAGAAATGAGACTGAAATGTAAAAACCCACTATGTTTGTGTACAGATTTATAGTAAACCTCTTAAAGTCTTTGGGAGTTCCCAGAGTGTCATAGTGTCTCTTTCGCTTTTGCTCATTAAGTGAGATTATAAAGAAGAGAGAAGGCATAAAGTAAAACCTGTGACATGTATGCCAGTGTGTGGCGAGGAGGAGGAGGGGGGATAAATTTGAACAAAAACTGAGCAAAACTAACGAAGTTTAAGGACTAAAGACTATAAAGAGGGATCGTGAGAGAGTTTTTAGGTCTGAGGAAATACCAACTGCCACCTTCAACACCTATATGAAAGTGTGAACATATACCTACGAATGTGATATTACAGTTGTTAAGAGTCTTGTGAGTGAGAATGCATGTTTTTCGCACGTTCATGAGAATTACAGTGTGTACATGTGTGCTCTTATTCTGCTGGTTTCCTGTTGATTATGATAGTTCTGCTTTATCTGGGGGAAAGATGACAAACTGTGTCTGTGAGGATATTCTGAAGAAAGAGCAAAAACAAAATGCATGAGCAACTTTTCTTCAATGTCACTTGCGACCCAGCCTTCAACAGTCTCACTTCACCAACTTTACTCTTCCTGCAACGACCGAATACCAACTATATTCATATGCAAACAGTAATGACTCATAACTAGCAACTGTTAATGCATATTATGCACAGGTAAATCTGCCTTCACCCAAACTGTTAGACAACCACACTAACAGAAAAAATTAACGGTTTAGTCTTTTTATTTTCTCACACTTATGGAAAATTAAAGCAACAACAAAATGATCCAAGAGGTATTACATGTTTAAACACTGTCAGTTTCCATGTTGGGACACGTGCAAAAACAAAAACAAAAACATAAGGCTTTTTAAATGAATATTTGTAGCTTCCCCATTACATTTAGTTGATGGCTTTATTAGAAAACCATGCAAAGAGCATAAAAAATTAATAGTGGTCACCCATTGGTGCCATACTTTGCAATTTTACATAATTTATTTCTAGGAAATACTTTATAGAAATGTAGAGAATGTGTTCTTCCTGGCTCCTGGGTGATCAAGTACAAAGCTTGGCTCACACGCAAAAACAGGATCTCTGTTGTAGAGACAGAGACGCCTGAAAAATAGGATGGACCAAATTTAAGACACGCAAGTAAAATGGAACATTTCCCCCTCATTCGCTCGCTTTTACACACAACAACACACACAAAATTTCCTGCCTGGCATTGTTTACATCCATTTTCTATACGTTCTAGTTGCAATATTCTTAGTTTACATAAAATCTATAAGAGCATTATAAAATATACATGATCTGAGAACTATAGAGGATGCAGAGGATGAGGCAATGGTCTCACAAGTAAACTACTGATGGATGCTGCCAATTAGCTGCCTCCCACAGGGATCACACTTCAATATTATCACTACATAGAATGACACATAACTGGCTCAAGTGCTGATGAAGTTGAAAGTAGCTAGCAGAGCAGTTTCAGTAGCAGCTATAGCGCCAATCTCTGAATGAGAACACAGGAAGAGCAGGGCATAAAACAAAAAAAGATTTGTTTCACTGTTGTGCTATCATTCTGGTATTCTTTCCTCCAAGTCTTCATGCTCCAGCAGGCAAAAAACCCCCAAAACAGAATCCTGACCAACACCCAAATCTCTGAATTTCATCACACCTAACACACAGAAAAATTACTACTAGGCTGCTTTTGAAGTGCTTTTTCTTTCTCAGCGGGGTATATTCATCTTGAAAGCTCAGTGATAACCAGTCGAATCTGTCACCACCAACTTAGGTGACGGATGAATAATTAACTCGTTTTTACCCCTTAAAGCGTCCACACTGCTCAATGCTCATCTTTACTTTTCTCAAAACCTTTCTCCAGCCCCGTTGCCATGGTCGCAACCTCATAACAGTGCTCCGTCCTGGATTCAGGCGAGTGGCCCACAGGGATGCAGTCGTAGCCTTTGCCTGCCGAGCTCATGCGCTTCCGGTTGCGTGCACCTGGCTGATAGAGCTGCATGGCTGGACGGTCCTGCAGGGAGAAAAGAGCGCAGGGACATGGGAGAGACACTATATAGTAGCAACTTGATTACACTGAGCCTACCTACTATGTGTGGTTACTTGCAATTTGTGATTACAATAGTGCACACTATGGGTGATTGCAGTAACTATCTCCAAGGTTAAATACCATTCATTCAATTTCTAAAAGGGATCTGCTTATTCATACACAACAAAGCAAGTTCACAGTTCTTTTAGGTGAAACTGCTGCATATAAAGCTCTACTGAAGTGTGTGAATGTGTGTGTGAATGGGTGGATGACTAGATATGTAAAGCGCTTTGGGGTCCTTAGGGACTAGTAAAGCGCTATATAAATACAGGCCATTTACCATTTACTGAAGTATTTTGTGATTCCAGTGGGAGTTGCACAGAATCTGGTAAATTGCTTCAAATAATAGGGCATTAAAAATTGTTATTTTGGGGGTTGAAAACCGTGTGGCTGAAAAAGAACAAAAGCAAACAAAAATAAGTAGTGAATTTACAGCTGCTGGCATCATCTCTGCTTGAAGCCTGAGGCTACACTAACTGACACCTAGCTCTAAACACAAATGAAGCTGTGAAACTGACAGCCTTCAAACAACAGTGTGGGTTTCACAGGTCTGAGAGTCAGGCAGGAGCAAAAAAAAAAGTTGAAAAACCCACTGATGATATCTTTGTTTATGATGCATTTAATAGTGTTTTCACAGGCCTGCTTGGAAGAAACATAAGCTGGCCTACTATCAGATGGAGACAGTCACACATAAATCAATATCTGAAACAAGTCTACACAGATGAACAAATTAGTGATGAAACAATCAGCGATCGCCTTCTCCCCATTCTCATGCTCACCTTCTCGCTCACCTTGTTTCGGAGGCGTTCCTTCCTGTTACCCAGGTCCTCTCTCTCCTCCTTTCCTATCTTGTCTCCACTGTCAGGACAGTAGGAATAGCCATGATGGTGTCCTTCTTTCTTTGCTCGGTCCTGGCAGTAGCCCTTCCCCCATTTGGTCTCATCCTTCCGCCGCATGAACTTGTCAAACTCATAGTGATGCCTCTGTCGTTTCCTCTCTTCATCTTTCCCACGGTGATCCTTATCTCTCTGCCTGCGCCCATGCTGTTCTCGCTGCTCCTTGTCACTCTCAGGCTGACCTCTAGTGGTCAGAATATAGATTGCAGAAACACCAGGTTAGACACCAGGATGCTAGTTGCAAAAGATTTGCATTATAAGACATCATGGAAGGTTTTTAAAAGTATTTTTTTGTTTTTCTGCAATACAATTTGTAATTATTAACTGTATATTAATGCTACAAAGATCAATGATTGTCCTTTAGAATACATAAAATATTGCGGCTAATATGTTATGTTAAATGCAATCAAAATATTTATGGTGTTGATTTGTGTTTTGGTACATATATATGTCTGAAAACTGTCCATAGGGGTGCCGTATTTTAACTAGTAGTGATCTAATTCTGTCAGCCAAAATCAAAACCAGTCAACATGTCTGAATGATTTCACAGTCCTTACTTGTCTTTGGGGTCCTTTGACTTTATTTGTCCTCCAGTTTTCTCCCATTTGCCTCTGTCTGTCTCTCCAGTGTCACTCTTGTCCTTCATTCGGTCTGAATCCACATCATCATCCCGGTCACTTTTCTTAAGGAGCTGAAGGAGCACAAATAATACAGAAAAAACTCCATGTCTACACGCCACTGCATGATCTAAACAACAAGGGTTATTTAATGAGATTTTTATGCTGACTGGCTACCTTAATTTTAATGTCTTTGTCAGACAATTTCTTCTGCTTCTCTGCCTCTTTTCGCTTGCGTCTCTCCTCCTCCCGCCTCTTTCTCTTTTCCTCCTCCCTTTGCCGCTTCTTTTCAAGCTCTCTTCTTCTTCTCTCCTCTCTCTTTTCCTCTCTTATTCTCTGTCGAGGAAGATGGGACAGCTTGAAATAGATGTTTCACATTTCAAAAACACTTTGGAGATAGCTTCGCCTTCCTACCTGTTTCTCAATTTTCTTATTTTTGATGTACTCCAGCAGCGGTGTCGTCCGTTTGGCTAAAATCAAGAAACAATAGAATCAGTTAATCAATATATAAAAATCTGTGGTACGCTATTAGTAGGCAGATGGACACATGAAGATATTTTACTGTACCTATGAGCTCTCTGGTCTTGGCCTCTATCTCTCCTAGCAGTGTCTCAGGGTTGGCCATAGACTTCTCCTCATCACAGGAGTAATTCTCCAAGAACCGCTTATATTCTGGATCTGACCCAGAATGGAACAGATACTAAATTAACAAGTTCTGACCTAAATGTGTCCTATTTAAACACTTTTGATTCTCTGAACATCCTAAACCCATGTAAGAATGACAAACTGTATTTAGGACAGCTTTAGAGCAGGACAGACTCTAATGTATTTTACCTTCTTCAATGCTCCCAGCTTTGGCATCTTTTTTCTTTAGCTTCTTCTTCGAAATCTTTTGAAAGGGAGCAAACTCTACGACTGCAGGATACTCTTGGCCTGAATAAATATTGAAACAGAAAGCAGCCCATCACTGACAGACTAGCTATCAGATAGTAACAATGGCAACAAAAGTTTTAAAGCGACCTCTTTGCCCATAAAGATTATCCTGTAACCGTAAAGCAAACATGCTTTTATTTGCATTTAACATAGCAGGATAATGTGGCCCTGTGTGCCAACAGTGATGCAGTGACAATAAAGTTAAAATGTGTTAAAAGCAGGCAAGAAGTACCTTTGTTGTCTATGAAGACATAGCCATCAAATCGGTCCCTAAACAGCAGGATATCCTCAGGGTTTTTAAAATTGATATACGCTCTGGAGAACAGGTGGGGGTACAGACTGTGAAGAGAAAATGGCATCCCAAAATTTCATAATTACATTTGTAAGAAAACAGAACTTTTAATCACCTAGTTCAGAAAATATTGATACCTTTGATCTGCTGGGAAAAACTCAAAGTAGTCATAAGATGGAAGTGGACTCAATTGCTCTTCTAGCTGCTCCTTTGACAGGTTGGGTGGGAGCCTTCGAATCACCACCTATAAGCATGTTTGTATGTTTGTTATTTTTATTTAACATTTGTTTTACACAGAAATACAGTAAGATAAATAAATCCATCAACTTTACAAAGGCACAACATATACATACCCCAAAAACCCCCTCCATATAAACTCATGTTGTTCAAAACTTGACACCAAAGAGCTACTTGAGGCAAATGCGCAGTCATTGAAACTATGAAAATATTAACTCAACAAAGAATTTAAACAGGCTCAAACACGATAGAGCGATGTAATAAAACATTAGCAGTGATGGGAGCCAACACACTAAACAATTACTGAGTGTCTGCTGCAGCAATTCTTATATTCAAAGAACACGGGAATGATATTAAGGCCTAAAAGTGGGGTTACTGGGCATGCATGCTGAAAACAAGAAGTGTATCGGAGACAGTTTTGAGAATCGCCAGCAGTCGTATTCTGCATTCCGTTGAACGCTACATGGGAATGTCATCATAAAATACCAACGTGAAGAGTCGTTACATTAAATGAAATCAGACTTAAACGTGACATGTAAGCTGAGAGGAGGCTGTAAGTGGGTGAATCCACGGGATCGTCGTGAATCCACTGCCTCAAACTCTCGTCGCTGTCCGCGGTGCTGAAACGATCCCTCCGCGTCTCCTCCATGACGGCCCCCCCAAGCAGCGTAAACAATGCGACACGGTTCAAAAGCTCGGCTACCCACCTTTGTAAACACCTCTTTCTTCTCTTCTTTCTGCTTAGGGTTGCCGGAAGTGTTTTCCTGCTCTCTTGGGATGTCCCTAAACTGTATCTCGACGACGCTTTTCTCCTTGCCCACGGTCATCTGGTCCTTTTCAGACCGCATCTCTCTCCATCTCCCTTCTCTTCGCCCGCGTTAAGCCACCGAGTGCTCGCGAGAATACAGTGATGTCGCGAGCGGACAGAGGCTGGAAAAGACAGCTTTGATATCCCGAAGGCCGAAAGAACAGGCGGCAAACTATTTAATCAACAAACATTGTTATCGCTTTTATAGCCTTTTTGGAGTCTCTCTCTCTGTTTTTAAGCGGTTTTATGGTATGAAGTTTACGTAGTTTCCCTGTATGGAGCTGTTGTTCTAGCTTGGTCAACAACTGAAAGAAAAGAAAAGAAAATTTAAAAACTAAAATAAAAAAAGCAAAACAACTAAAATAATAGAAATAAACAATTTTATAAATAAACAAGGGAAACTATCCACTTGGTTGAAAAACGCATTTATTTAGTTTAAGCATCCACAACGGTCTTTAATCAGTACCGAAAAGTACGTAAGAAACAGTTCTTGCAATAATTACACACTCCCACTCACGCAGTGTGTATGTAACTCTATAAGACAGGCTCTTTCGGTGTCACTGTGAGGATCCCGAGGTGGGCTTCATGTCGCACTGACTCGCAGACGATGAGCTGCCCGCAAAACTCCACGATTCATGGCAGGAAGACTGGCTCACTGACCGCCCGTGGATGTCTCGACAGGGAACTGCAAAAAGGTCAACAAAGCCATCTCTTCACATCGGACTCGGCATGGATGTGCACACGGCAAACTGGCGAATTTGTCCACAGTGGAATAAACCTCACACTTTTTCAAACCTATTTTTATAAACAAGTACTTTTATTCTTTCCAAGTACAAACAAGTTTTTTTCTTTAACTCAGCACTGAACTTAGGTTGGCAGCACACTCACTACTTAGGAAGGTTTCCTTGCTGCTTCTGGGCTCTGCACACAGCCGAGGTCCCTCTGGTGTCGACTCTGAGCTCTTCATGCTGGAGACAAAAGTGGAGCAGGTGTCCAAGTCCCGGCAGACCTTATCGTGGGTGTAAATGCCGGTTGACTTAGTTGGAGTGCAGCCCATCTCTCCACGCTCTCCATTGAACAGAAGGACCCCACGGTAAATAGCACAACCCTATCTGTCCTGTGGCTCTCAGAGAAGCGATGGAGACAAGTTCGGTGTTTTCACTCGAGCTCAGAGATCCCACCCCTCTCCTTAACTGGAATAAGACACGTGAGAGGCTGCTCAATGCTGCAGGTTAGTTCAATGCTGCTGATCTGCAGCAGATTCCTGCCTTTCCAATCAGCTTTTTAAAAGTTTTAAACACTTCTCACCCACAATGGTTTTTGTTTTTTTTATTCCACAGAGCTAAATATATATATGGAGAAAACAAAAGCTGTTGCTTTTTAGAGAAGTTACTAGAAAAACAAGCCAAATGTTTCCTACTTCTAATTTTGTGATACCAGGTTTCATTTTGTCCCTACTGTTTGCAAACACCACCATTCTCAGCTGTGAATGACGAGGTGTCAAAAACCACACAATAAAATGTGTTTTGTTCCTTCAAATCTCTCTGTTTAGTGGTTCAGTTGAACACATTTATGAGCAAACTAATTTTCGTGTTAAGTTGCAAAGAACTCTTTCAACCAGCAAACGTATAATCTACAACATTTCAGCTTTGACAACTTAGTAAACAAATGTGTAGAAAAAGAAAAATATTTAAAAACTTCTCATTATTATTCACCGAACCAACTGTGTTTAGTAGATTTTTGAAATCAATAGTAATAATTAAAAAAAATGATTAGGTGTTATTCAACATTTCTTTATTTCAAGATAAATGCATTGTTTCTTGAAAGAATAATCAAAACACTTTCCCCCACCAAAAACGGCTTGTTGTTAGCTGGCTCTTTATTCAAGTTGAAAATCCACAGGTTAAGCATTGGGGGTGGGGGCGCTGCCACAGGAACTGTAGTCTTTAATTTATGACGTGAGGCGTGTGGCTTCTTTCCCCTATTCATTCAAGTGTCATAGGAACACATGATCCCAGTGTCTTAACCCAAGGTCCAGTGCTGTGCCTTTGCTAGGCCAAGTACTAAGCACCTTAACCAAGGCATTCCCCTTTTAAAGTGCATTCATGCAAACATAATATGCAATACAGCAGGTGCCGTATCAGATTTAATCTATACTTACTCATGTTAATAATGTTCACAACTGCCTCTTCTGTGTTTTGCTGCTTAGAGAAACAACAATACTATGCACAAGACGGGGAAACCTCAGGAAGCCTTTGGTAAAGAGCAGGTGCTAAGGTTTTGTGTTGTCCTTGGGCATGGATATGTGAACCTATGCCACCCTGTTGCCACGACAGTTCCACCTCGTGGCAGAGATCACGTGCTGGTGTCTGATAGGGTGTCTAACATCACGTCGCTCTCGTACATGTCACACTCCAGGGTTAACGAGAGCCGAAGCGGCGTCTCCAGCATCATCTTGTCCTGATTTGGGATAGGCGTTTCCAAAGACATGATGCTAGTGTCTTCCAATCTCGGAGTGGCTAGAAGGTCATCAGGCTCTGAGGTGTTCAGCATCTTCATCAGCGCTGGAGTGTTCAAGTTGCCTCGCACCTTATCGTTGATGTCTGTGCCTTAGCAGAAACAAACAGGAAGTCTTCATTTTCTCAGGCAGATATCACTCATGTAATTACAATTACGCAGACTTAAAAGGACAGTTAAAGCCCAAATCTATTTTTTTATAATTACCCCTTTAGTCTATAGTGCTATTAATATATTGCTGCAGATAGCTTTGGATTTCAGTGGAGAATATTAGAGAAGATTATGCTTTTCCTGAGAAAGTCTTTTTGCAACCACAGCTAGCCTCCAGACCTTTTTATTGTCTATGGTGGCATCACAAATACCAGGTTCCTAAGAAGGTGCCTAATCTCACACAAAGGAAATGCCCTTTTAGATAATAAAAAAAGGTGACTATGAATATTTTTTACAGCTAAATTCTTTAACAATTTACTTTATATGAGACATAAGAAATGTGAAAATATTTTCCAAAATTGAAACCAACCTATATATGCATCAGTGTCACCGATGTACATCTCAATACAGTGGCCAAGCATCGTCACAGAGAAAGTGTCATCCCTTTTCAGTCCCAGTGCCTGCCAAAGAAAGACAAAACCCCCCCAACAAACTACTTTAACCCTTTTTTTTAAATGATAAAAACAGATTGTTTTGACTATGTTTTATGTGCTAATAATACAATTATGTTATTTTAATGGCTGCTAGTATTCTGGACAGCACCCTCAACAACAAATAAAGAAATAAAATGAACGTTTCAAGAGCTAAAATAAGAATTAAAACCAAACATTGATCAAAGTCATGCATTATATCTGTGGCTTAAAAACCCCCAAAACAAAGTCACTGCTAAATCAAAAATACCTCTGTGCATTGGGCAATATTATATTTTTTAAGATGCAACTATAATATAGCTACTTTATCTTATTAACTTGTGATAGAAGTCAAAGTTTTGGAGCTAAGTCATTTTATATTTTAAGTGAACCTGTACGATATCTAGACGGTGTATAGTTTATGTCAGATTATTCTTGTGTACTTTTTTTTGGTGTACGTGTTTGGTTAACTAAAAAAAAAAAAAAAATCTCATAGGCTATACATTATTCCTTCTTTCCTACTAAAAATGCTACCTAAAATACCAGTAACACAGGTATCTTATGAGAGATTCATTTTAGTAACTTTGTTTCAGACTGTTAAGAACCCACAGGAACTCCAACTCCCTGTGAGTGCCTCTTACTAAAAGACAAACAAGGAACAAAACCAACGGATCCCTTTAAAGTTTACCGTGTGGAAGTAGTCAATAGCACTTTCAAAGTCACCCATGAGGCTGTGCACGTATCCTATCGCAGCATAGGTGGAGGCGTGCTGAGGGATCAACACCAGAGCTTGACGGTGGTACTCCAGAGCCTGGTCGTACTTTCTAAGGAAACAAACACAGCAACATGCAAAGCTGTTACTCACTGAGTGAGCCAAACATCATCAGCAGGCTTTACATGTCATAAATAGTGCATTTAAAATGATTACAAAACTTTCCATTTCTATGTTTGCTGATGGAATAACAACAGCTATATAATTTTCCAAATTAATCAGTAACTATAAAATCAACTTTGAGCGTATCATGTACCATGGCAATGAGACATAACACAGTCTGCAAATACAGTCTTGATGTAATTAAGTAGTACTTACTTCAGTTTCCGACATACATGACCTAAGTTGTTTAACAGAGGCTCCCACTTGTCCACAGTAACCTTTAATTAAAAAAACAAAATTACAAAAATATTGCAAAGACTTAAGTTTTCAAGACATGGATCACATTGATGGTATCAGTTAAAACCATCAGCTGTTACCTCATTCCCTATGGCTTTGATCTTCTCCAGTGCATCAAGAAACAACTTCTCTGCTGTCTTCCAGCTGAAACAGCAAAAATGTTCTTAGAAAGCAACTAAATAACTGTCTGCAATCTGTGTACTAACACATGACAACAGTGCACTCTATACATAAGGATTTACTCAAATTTGCAACATCTCTTAGATCTCTTACATGGTTCCTACACTGTACTTAAATACCAAGACTGTATAAAAACCAAGATTACATAAATGCAAACACACGTTATGTAACGACTTCCTCAGATGGCTACTTGAGGCTGGTTCCAAAATTGTTGTCACGGTCCAGTGATTTCCAACATTAGAGTTGAAACTCGCATGTTTACAGAACAAAAGGTCACAAAAAGCAATTTGTCCATAAACTCCCCCTTCATGACAACTGTACATGATTTAGACAACTTCAATGAACTAAAGCTTAAAATAATGCATAATTAAATGATATCTGTGTACGTGTGTACGTGTACACTTGGGTGCTCACAAAGGCAGCAAAACTTGGTAACTAGCTGCTAAATTTACCTCATTTAATTATCCGCTTGTTAAGTGACGCACCAAACCTGCTTACGGGGCCAAGCTCCTACTCTGTTCATTAAGGCTGTCGTCCTTTAAATGTGCTGTAATGCTTTACATCTTTGTTTAATTTAATATAAACACCCTCTAAAAATAAGCTCTGATCATGTGCATCACATTTTTAGGCTGTTTGAATGGGTAGATTAAGCTGAGGTTTAGCAATTTTCCAAAGGAAGTAATGCAAAACACGCACAAAAATGTTGATGTCTAACCTCGTGCTGTGGATGGATCATTACAGATGTTCTGTTGACTGGAGTTTGTTTTAAGCGTCTTTACCTGCCCTATGATTGCATTTT